ACCATGGCCTGTATCAGGTACACCTTAGCCTCCAGAGTGGCACCACTGCTCTGCAGCACTTTGGAGAGGTCCCTAACAGCAGACTTTCCCATTGCAACACGTCTTTTAATTTCCTGGCTGCTGGTGCCAAGAGTTTTGACCAGGAGAAAATGAATTGGTAAACAATTTCAGAAAACAATGTTATTTTGCTTGGATTTTATTACAGCTTAGGAAGTCAAGTTCAAAATGATTCTCGGGAGAGTTATTTACTCAAAAGATACTTTAAACTCTTGCATGTTATCCAAGAGTCATGCAATGAGGGTCTCATGACAGTTTTGAGGCCAGGTATACTCAGTTTCATGATTATCTACTTTGTAGCTTATAAAAGGAAACAAAAAAAACCTTTGGAAATGTTTTTCGTCTCCTACAGTGGGATGTACCAACACTCAAGTTCATGATTAATACCTAAGTAATAACCAGTCACTGAATTGTCACTGAAGTTTCTTGTATTCTCCTATAAAAATGAGAGTTTCTTGTATTCGCCTATAAAAACACCTTTTTAGGTAGAATCTTCTGGATGTTGTTTTCCAATTTATAAATTACATTGTCTTTCAATAGAGGCTCTTTATTTTTTCATTTCAACTAAACTCTGTCACTTGACTTTAGAGCACTCTTTCCAGGACTTTCAATAAGGCCACAGAGATATGATTGGGTCTTCCATCTCTGGCTACCATCTTCCAAACTACCCCACAAAAAGTAGTCCAAAACTAATGGCAGGAATGCCGGGTGGTCTGTAGACTCCATCCATCAACCTCTGCTATTAGGAAGTTCATGGTATTTTTCTTTTGAAGACGAGCCAAAGTCATCTTGTGCCGCTTAACTGTCTTCTTAATGGCATACGAGAGCTTTCTATATTCATCAAAGGAGCAAAGTTTAGTTCCTGAGTAGCACAAATGTTAAACACTCAACTATCAGATAAATGGTTGGTGGTTTTAACCCACCTAAAGACACCTCTGAAGACAGGACTGTTGATTTACTTCCAAAGGGCACAGCCATGGGTCAACTCAACAGCAACTTAGAGCAATGATTTCATATCACAAAAAGAAAATACACTTCAACAGCAGAAACAGGACACCATTTCTTTGTTCTAGACAGCTAAGTCAGCCTGTTCCAAACCAAGAAGCAATATCAACCTCACACATTGAAACACTTGAAACGAAGTATGATGAGTATTTCCTTCAAACACATTTTCATTTCAAATGTCATCGACGTTCTTTGAAGTCACTCTTCCTATCATTAGGTTTAATCCTGGGAGGAGAACACCCTTCACACTGGGACTATACTTGTCTTGTTTACATTTACTTCTGTTCCCTCACATTTAAAAGCTGTCATTGTTAAAATTCTCCAGATTTCTTCTTCCAGTCCTTGAAGTTGCCTCATGCTGTTGGCCATGTGGATTCTATCCATGGCCTTGAGTGAAAACTTGGATCTACAAATGGATGTGATAACTTGTCAGCCTAGGTAGTCATAAAGGAGGCAGAATAAGTGTTAACTGTTGAGTTCAATGTTTTGAGTTATTATCAGCTGTCTTTATGCCAATGAATAGGGCTTAAAAAAATTAAAAAGAAAAAAATAAAAATAAAAATCAGTTAAACAATGAACTGGTGATAACAAAAATAACTGAGACTAGAAAAATAGATGGGGATAGAATGAACTAAAGACACAAGTTATTTCCCAGTGCATTTGCTTTTAAAAGGAGGGGAAACAATGGTTTTAGTAACACCTTCAGCTTAACAATTGTAATTCTGTTTAAAGCTTCCATCACATTCTTTTGTCAACCTCTGGGCATGTGCAAACATATGACCAGCCTCAGGGGGGTTGTCACAGCTCTTCTTAGTGAGCAGTAACTTGATGAGGATGTCAGAGTTAAGTAAACTCCCTTTAGCAATGTAATTAGAGTTAAGAAACCCTCTGACTACTCCTTCAGGACTTTACTATTACAATACATTTTCCAAGCTTGTCCTACATAAATGTTTCCCGCTAGGAGGGTGGCATCCACTTCCTAAACAACAGGCCTCCAGAAACTCTATGAACTTTGATAAATGTCAATAGTTATAGAGGGGCTTCAGGCCTTTTGTTCATAGGGTTGCTATGAGTTGTGCTCAACTCGAAGGCAATCAACAACAACAACACAACATGGCAACAGGAGGGCCAGGTCCTCACCTCTTTCATAAATCTTTCCTCATTGTTGTTGCTGTTATTATTGGCTGCTATCAAGTTAGCTCCTAAATCAGAAAACTCTGCACAACTGAACAGAAAGCTGCCCGCTACGTGGTCAGGTCCGTGACAGATTGTGGATCAGGCCTTTGTGGGGAAGTCAATCACCAGCTCTTTCTTCCTAGTCAGTCATGGTCTGGAAGTTCTACAGCAATCCGTTCAGCATCATCCAGATCAAAACCCACCACCTTGGAGAGGACTCTAACTCACAGTGGACACACACACCCCCACCCCAGGTTCCTGAGGCTATCAACTATTATGGGAGAAGATGGCCAGTTAGTTCTCCTGCACAGAGCCTGACAGATTCAAGTCTCCAGCACAACATGGAACACCATGCAAACTCTCTGACTAGCTCATGGTCACTGCACAAGAGGCGTTTTGGCTTCCCATATGGAAGATAAAATTCCTACCACTGAACCACCAAGACATAAAGAACACTGATGTGGCCAGAAGGTCAGCAGATTAGAAGAAGAAATCATGTAGGGGCTGAAATGATGTGTTTGCAGATCTGGTCCTCCTCTCCGGCCCACATCCTCCCATCCTATGGTGTGGGCTGTCGCTGTGGATCTGGGTGGAAGGAGGAGCTCCCAGTGCAGGGGGACCTGCAGTCCCCACGCTGGGTGACACCCAGTGCCTGCAGAGCACCCCCATGATGGGTTGGAGTCTGTCCTCATGGACACAGAGTGGGGCTTTCAGAGCAGATACTCCTGTTAGGGTCAGAGTCAGGCAGAAATCAGGAGTGGAAGGGAGGCTACCAGTAGGAGGGAACCAGATAAAGTCCACACTAAAATCCAATGTGGGAGGCAGGGAGCAAGATGTGGCTACAATTGGGTTCTATCAATGGCATTGGATTTGGGTGCCTCATGGTCCTGACATGCACAGTAAAGACCTGATTGGTTTTAAGGACCTGAGGGAGGTCAGAACAGTGGACCAGAGCCATCCACCACAGCATCCCATTGGCCCAGGCTCAAGGCCAGAAGTC